TGGGAGAGTTGAAGCAGAACTTTGGTTTTTGATGGAGCGTGGACGGGTTAGACCCCCTGTCCTGGGTTTATTTCTGCCTGGTCTTCAGCACCCAAAGGGGCCCTTTAGTATGTGTGTGTGGCCCTTGGACCCCAGCAGTCTGTAATGGGAGCATGGGTTTCCATCAAGTGTCAGTCAGCCTCATAACCGGTCTTCTGTAGAATGTCTCCGACCTCCAAACCCAACCATAGTATGACCCCGGTCAACAACCATCAGTCTTCTATATATATAACAATGTGGAAGCTACTGGGAACAACAGCAACTCAGCCAGGAAGTGGATTAATAGTTATTATTATTCCTACATTGAGCAGATCTTTTTTTGAACCCCCTTTAAATTCTACTTATGACCACAAGATGGCAGCCTAACACCTGACTCCACCGTGTCGCAGATACAAGTGGAAACACACGTGCGGGCGGCACCCTTAGCGGTACCGGGGGTGATGGACCGTGTTGGGCTAACACCCACGGCGTTCATTGGATGTGGCCGCTGGACAGACGGCCCAACCCTTTCATTTCAGGGACCGTTCCCCTCTCCCCATGAATTTTGTAGGCGACAAAGACGTCGTTTGCGTTTTCCCTTTGCTCCGGGGAGGAAACGCCCCATGGTCGCGGTCTCCGCAGTCTGACGCTATCGTGCTTTTCTTGGGGTTTTTTTAAGCTGACGGTGTTTCTTCCTCCCGGTCCTGATCATCCCCTCCGTCCGAAATACGATGATTAAGCACAAAGAGGCCTCCGGGTGACAAAGTGGACCTGTCACCGCGACGCAAATGAGGGCGGAGGGTGTTTTTCTAAGTGCGCTTTTTTAGTTTTGGACAGTGCGGCGAAGGATGAGAACCCTAGTTGGGTTATTCCCGCTATGTGGGGCTCCGGTACAATGGTTTCACCAGACAGTGGGACGGAACTTGGGAGGAGTTATGCAAATATCAAAATACGTTGTTAGGTGGGTGTCAGTCTGGAGGAGTGGGCGTGTCTGGGAAGGCTGTATTTGCATGTTACGCCCCCTTATGTGACACTGAGCCTCTGAAAGAACTGAAATCGAATAAATGAAAGGGGCGGAGCCAGGCACAGTCAGGCTGTGGAGGAAAGGATAGATGATGCTGGGTATCCTCCAGCCAGGAAATGAGGCGGGCTCTGCTTGACTTGCTGCAGCTTCTAATGCACGTTGTGACAAGTTCTGCTGCTGAATGAAACCTGAACCCTGAATAGCACCTAACTTCCTACAACCCAAACTCCTAGTGACGGTAACAAGCATAAACTATGGCGTGAGAGCTTAACAGCAGTCAGGTACCATGGCAGAGAGGTGGGGGGAGCTACAGAGACACATTGTAGCCCGTATAGATATCAGAGTGACAAAGAGGTTGGCCAATAGCGTGCAAGGAAGTGAAAGGCACTTTAGTCTCAAGGATACAATGTTACGGAAGGAGAAGGTGGAGCCGAGGAAGATTAAGGCACAGGATGCCGAAAGTGACACAGTGAGGGTCCTGCCAATCCTCCACCATACAAAGACATTGTAGACAATGGAGCTCTTCCAGCCTTGTGGTAACAGCTTGGTGAAGACCCTTTTCTGTCCCACCATGACAGTCCCCTGTGTACAGAACCAGCTCCATAAAGACATGGTGTGACCAGTTTGGTGAAGACCCTTTTCTGTCCCACCATGACAGTCCCCTGTGTACAAAGCCAGCTCCATAAAGACATGGTGGGACCAGTGTGGTATGGAGGAACTTGAGAGGCCTACACAGAGCCCTGACCACAACCCTAAAAAGTGAAGGACCTTTTCTGGTCCACCATGACTGTCCATAAAGACATGGTGTGACCAGTGTGGCTTGGAGGAACTCGAGTGTCCTGCACACAGCCCTGACCTCAACCTTACTGAAGACCTTTGGGATGAATTGGAACACCACATGGCCAAAAAGTATATGGCCAATCCTTCAAATAATGGAGTTCAGGTGTTCCCATTGGATGAGTTGGAACACCGATTGTGAGCCTCGTCTTCTCATCCAACATCAGTACCCAACCTCACAAATTAGATCAATTCCCACAGGCACCCAAATCCAAAATCTTGAGGAAAAACAAGCAGAGTAAAGTACACCCCATTCTTTATTTATATTTTAAACACTATTGATCACACAAGAGTACCACTCGCTGTAGAAATTAATGTGTGTGGGGGTTCTCTGAGAACCCAAAACTTTTTTAAGGGTTCCCATGAGATGAAAGTGATGAGAGAAGTTTCCTAGAATGAACAGAGAGATGGAGAAGAATGAAGAGAGGGAGAAGTATGGGGAGAGGGAGAAGTATGGGGAGAAGGAGAAGTATGGGGAGAGGGAGAAGTATGGGGAGAGGGAGAAGTATGGGGAGAGGGAGAAGTATGGGGAGAGGGAGAAGTATGGGGAGAGGGAGAAGTATGGGGAGAGGGAGAAGTATGGGGAGAGGGAGAAGTATGGGGAGAGGGAGAAGTATGGGGAGAGGGAGAAGTATGGGGAGAGGGAGAAGTATGGGGAGAGGGAGAAGTATGGGGAGAGGGAGAAGTATGGGGAGAGGGAGAAGTATGGGGAGAGGGAGAAGTATGGGGAGAGGGAGAAGTATGGGGAGAGGGAGAAGTATGGGGAGAGGGAGAAGTATGGGGAGAGGGAGAAGTATGGGGAGAGGGAGAAGTATGGGGAGAGGGAGAAGTATGGGGAGAGGGAGAAGTATGGGGAGAGGGAGAAGTATGGGGAGAGGGAGAAGTATGGGGAGAGGGAGAAGTATGGGGAGAGGGAGAAGTATGGGGAGAGGGAGAAGTATGGGGAGAGGGAGAAGTATGGGGAGAGGGAGAAGTATGGGGAGAGGGAGAAGTATGGGGAGAGGGAGAAGTATGGGGAGAGGGAGAAGTATGGGGAGAGGGAGAAGTATGGGGAGAAGGAGAAGTATGGGGAGAGGGAGAAGTATGAAGAGAGGGAGAAGTATGGGGAGAAGGAGAAGTATGTGGAGAAGGAGAAGTATATGGAGAAGGAGAAGTATGTGGAGAAGGAGAAGTATGGGGAGAAGGAGAAGTATGGGGAGGAGTATGGGGAGAAGGAGAAGTATGGGGAGAAGGAGAAGTATGGGGAGAAGGAGAAGTATGAAGAGAGGGAGAAGTATGAAGAGAGGGAGAAGTATGGGGAGAAGGAGAAGTATGGGGAGAAGGAGAAGTAGGAGAAGAGGGAGAAGTATGGGGAGAAGGAGAAGTATGGGGAGAAGTATGGGGAGGGGGAGAAGTATGGGGAGGAGAAGTATGGGGAGAAGGAAAAGTACGGGGAGAAGGAAAAGTATGAGGAGAAGGAGAAGTATGGGGAGAAGTATGGGGAGAAGTATGGGGAGAAGGAGAAGTATGGTGAGAAGGAGAAGTATGGGGAGAAGGAGAAGTATGAAGACAGGGAGAAGTATGGGGAGAAGGAGAAGTATGGGGAGAAGGAGAAGTATGGGGAGAAGGAAAAGTATGGGTGTGACGGACCCCCGTACTCGGGATGAGTATGTCCGCCGCTGTCTTCTTCCTTGCTGAGGAGATATTGGAACCTGAAGATCCTTAGCTCCCAGTTTCCCCAGTCACTAGCCAAGGCTCAGTGTAGGTGAAACAAACTCTGATTTATTGAGCAACTGCACAAACTTTTATACAGCAAGTGATGAAATCAGAATATAATCCCATCACATCCACCTCCCCTCCTCCCAGACCATCGGTCTGCTCAACACCACAGGTGTCCACCTGCTAACGAACTCCAGACAGCCATAGCAGGAGCCTGGCCAGAATGTCATTGTTCTGAGCTCCCTCAGAGTACAATGGGAGATAACGAGGGATGGTGCTGATAGTCTTTCCATAACCAGGTCACACAGCATAACGCACTCAAACATAACTCAATACCAATACACATTTAACTTAACCAATACACATAAACTGATCACCATGTCGTCACAATGCGGAGAAGGAAAAGTATGAGGAGAAGGAGAAGTATGGGGAGAAGGAGAAGTATGGGGAGAAGGAGAAGTATGGGGAGAAGTATGGGGAGAAGGAGAAGTATGGGGAGAAGTATTGGGAGGAGAAGTATGGGGAGAAGGAGAAGTATGTGGAGAAGTGTTGGGAGAACTATGGGGAGAAGCATTGGGAATGGAAAAAGCATGGGGAGAGGGAGAAGTATTGGGAGAGGGAGAAGTGTTGGGAGAGGGAGAAGTGTTGGGAGATGTATTAGATGAGGGAGTTGTATTGGGGGAACTATTGGGAGAAGTATTGGGAGAAGGAGATGTATTGGGGAGAGGGAGATTTTGAAGAAGAAGGGGCAATGGAGACATGATAGGATGAAGGAAGGGTGAAGAATACAGGAGCAGCCTGCACATGAATGTCATGATGAAAAGATATAAATAAGAATGTTCTATGTAGAAGGAGCAGAGCGCCCTCTCCGAACAGGTCACATCCACCAGTTGCTAGCACCCCTGTCAGTACACTCCGTCATCTTCATCCCTCTATATCAGTACACTCTGTCATCTTCATCCCTCTATATCAGTACACTCTGTCATCTTCATCCCTCTATATCAGTACACGCTGTCATCTTCATCCCTCTATATCAGTACACGCTGTCATCTTCATCCCTCTATATCAGTACACGCTGTCATCTTCAAGCCCCGGTGTCAGTATACCCCATCATCTTCATCCACCTGCCTCCCGTGTGTGAAAGGTCTGTGCTCCGGGGGGACCCGCTTCATTCTCATCTTCTCAGCAGCCAATCAGAGTTGGAGGTGGGCTCGGGTTCCCCGGGCCGGCGGAGGGAGCGCTGGAAGCTGCAGATGCTCATCCCCGGGGTTGCCATAGGTACCGGTTATCTTTAGCAGCCGGGAGCTCCGTCCGCCTCCACCGGGCAGAGGCTGAGGATAATGCGAGGCTCGGCGCAGAGGGCAGCGGAGAGGAAGCGGAGGAGAAGCCGGGAGAGGCGGCAGTGATCGGGGAGAATACGGGGATGGGAATGTCGGAGTTCTTCATCAACAGGTAAGAGCGAGGCTGGCAAAGAGCCGCAAAATGTCTGCATGGAGGATGCACGGAGCATGCCAGGGATGTGGCAGCATGCCCGACAGAGGCCAGGGCACCCAGCATGGCAGGGATCAGGGGTACCTAATACTGGTCCAGGATGGAGGGGAGCCAGGGAAGAGGGGAACCTAATTCGGATAGAGGGTGGAAGAGATGAGGGGTACTCTACTACTGATCCAGGGTGGAGGGAAGCCATGGATGAGGGGTACATACTACTGCTACAAGGTAGAGGAGAGTCATGGATGAGGGGTACATACTACTGCTACAAGGTAGAGGAGAGTCATGGATGAAGGGTACTCTGCTACTGGTAAAAGGTGGAGGGGAGCCAGGGATGAGGGGGAGTTACTACTGGTACAGGGTGGAGGTTGCCAGGGATGAAGGGGAACCCAAAAACTGTTACAGGGTGGAGTAGAGCCAGGGATGAGGGGTACCCTACTACTGGCACAGGGTGGAGAGGCAGGGATGAGGGGTACCTACTACTGGCACAGGGTGGAGAGGCAGGGATGAGGGGTACCTACTACTGGCACAGGGTGGAGAGGCAGGGATGAGGGGTACCTACTACTGGCACAGGGAGCCATGGATGAGGGGTACATACTACTGCTACAAGGTAGAGGAGAGTCATGGATGAGGGGTACATACTACTGCTACAAGGTAGAGGAGAGTCATGGATGAAGGGTACTCTGCTACTGGTAAAAGGTGGAGGGGAGCCAGGGATGAGGGGTAGTTACTACTGGTACAGGGTGGAGGTTGCCAGGGATGAAGGGGAACCCAAAAACTGTTACAGGGTGGAGTAGAGCCAGGGATGAGGGGTACCCTACTACTGGCACAGGGTGGAGAGGCAGGGATGAGGGGTACCTACTACTGGCACAGGGTGGAGAGGCAGGGATGAGGGGTACCTACTACTGGCACAGGGTGGATAGGCAGGGATGAGGGGTACCTACTACTGGCACAGGGCAGAGGAGAGCTAGGGATGAGGGGTACCTAATATTGGTAAAGGGTGGAGGGGAGACAGGGATGAGGGGTACCCAACTACTGGTACAGGATGGAGGGGAGCCAGGGGTTAGGGGTACTACTACTTACTACTAGCACAGGGTGGAGAGGAGCCAGGGGTGAGGGGTACATACTACTGGTACAAGGTGGAGGAGTGCCTGTGATGAGGGGTACCCTAATACTGGTACAGGGTGGAGGAGAGCCAGGGATGAGAGATATCCTACTACTGGTGTACAAGAAGTAAGATATCTCTCATCCCCGAAAGGGTGATGGAAAGCCAGGGATGAGTAGTGCCCTACTACTGGCAAGGGGTGGAGGAGATGCAGATGTGAAAGGTTCCCTATACTCATGGTACAGGGATGAAGTAGAGGCATTGGTGAGAGGTTCCTTACTACTGGTACAGGGTGGAGGAGAGCCAGGAATTAGAGATACCCTCCTACTGGTGCAGGGATAAGTGGCACCCTAATTACCGGCCAGGGTGGAGAAGAGTGGGGATAATGTTCAGAGTGAAGGCAAGGCAAGCATGAAAAGGTACCTTTCTTCTGGTGCAGGGTGAAGAAAAGTAGGCATGAGTGGTACCCTACTACTGGTCCAGAATGGTGGCAAGACCTAGATCAAAAGGTACTTTACTACTGGTCCAGGGTGAAGGAGAGAAAGCTCGAGAGGTACCCTTCTACTGGATCAGGGTGAAGGAGAGCCAGGGATGAGGGGTTCCCTACTACTAGTACAAGATGGAGAAGAGCCAAGGCTGAGGAGTTTCCTACTACTAGTACAAGGTAGAGAAGAGCCAGGGATAAGAAGTTCCCTAGTACAAGGTAGAGAAGAGCCAGGGATGAGGAGTTCCCTACTACTAGTACAAGATGGAGAAGAGCCAAGGCTGAGGAGTTTCCTATTACTAGTACAAGGTAGAGAAGAGCCAGGGATAAGAAGTTCCCTAGTACAAGGTAGAGAAGAGCCAGGGATGAGGAGTTCCCTACTACTAGTACAAGGTAGAGAAGAGCCAAGGATGAGGAGTTCCTTACTGCTAGTAGAAAGTGGAGAAGAGCCAGGGATAAAGAGTTCCCTACTACTAGTACAAGGTGGAAAAGAGCCAGGGAGGAGGAGTTCCCTACTACTAGTACAAGGTGGAGAAGAGCTAGGGAAGTGCAGTGCATTTTGCCACGATTTTGCCGCGTTCCACAGGGATGAGTGGTACCCTACTACTGGTCCAGTGTGGAGGAGAGCCAGGGATGAGGGGTACCCTACTACTGGTCCAGTGTGGAGGAGAGCCAAGGATGAGGGGTACCCTACTACTGGTCCAGTGTGGAGGAGAGCCAGGGATGAGGGGTACC